TTATATCTATCTCATTCCAAAAAGGGACACAAGACAATTTTACTTTAGGCCTTGTTGATATGAAATGCTACAGTCATGCTAAAACTTTCCCAGAAAATGAATTTAAATTTCAGCACATAAGATTTCCTTCCTTGTGTTACAAAATATCTTGTTTTCAATGGAAAAACTCAAATTTCGGAAAAGCAAAACGTAACACATATGATTAAATTATGATTTTTTTGTCAGTGTTTAAAGGATACCTCAGAGTTTGACAGCCTTGTAAATTGCTCTTCAAGCTAGTCTTGTTTTATAAGAACAGAAATATATAATTATATTAGTTCATAAACTATAGTTTCATTTCCCTACTTTCTTTGTAAGCTCCTTAGAGGCAAATGCCATGCTTCTATTTCTAACATGGCACTAGGCTTGCATTTCTTAAACTATGTTCCACTGACTAGAGAAACTATCAGATACTCTGTGAAAAAGTACTCTGTCATCAAATAAATTAGGGAAATACTAACACATTTCAGAGAACACTGTGAATTCCCTTTAAATTTATCTTATCCCAGCTGTTCTTATGTTCATTTGGTCATGAAACTTTCCATTTCTAGAGCAGCAAATTGTAACAATCCATAGACAAATGAGAAAATCCTGGGCGAGCAAATGCCATTGGTACTAGTTGAGGGAAGAGGCTTTTAGAGAAATTTGTCTTATCCCAATGGGAAGTATAAATTGTGAGGCTTAAAATCATCACCTTCTCACCCCTCTGAGGTACTAAAAATTGCCAAGATGCCCCCTCAACGTTTAATGTGTGTAGTTAACCACATTGCTTAAGAAGATAGATGTGCATGAGGAAACATTACCCAGGGCACTGGTCAATTGTCCTTTTCAAAACCACGATCTGGTGTGTGCTCCTTCCCTTGTTTCAGCTCTAAGACTTGTGAGAACTTGGCATTTTCATGACTACATGTATATTTAATAACTGTAATAAGAAACTATGTAGATATGAAAAATAAATGAAGTAACATTCCAAGTGATGCACCAACCAAAGCAAACAGAAATCCCCTGGTGATAAGATTACCATTGCACTCATTTATTAAATTACCTACAACCTACAAAATCCTCTGCAAGACCAAATTGTTGAAGTGTGAAGTATTTTCCAGATATTCCAGAAATGCCCCCAGCACCACATCAAAGAGACAGAGACAGAGAAAAAATGCAGAATTTCATAAGCAAACCAAGATACCTGGCAAATTTTGAAGTATAATACATACTACACATGAATGGTTAAGTTTCCTATTATTTTAAGAAATCATACTTAAATACATAGTATCATAGTATTATATAAATGTAACATAGTTTTATGTACTTTTTTTTTTTTTTTTGCAAAAAGGCAGTCATTCTTGGGCTCAATCAATGGGCACCCTTACTTGAGGCTCTAAGGGAGAACATTTAAGTGACAGAATTTCACCCCTCCTTGGCAGTGATGATTGTATCTATGGTTTCCACAGCACCTTGCAAATGCCTGACATGCACCAGGACTATAAATAAATGTTATGGAGCATTTAGAAAATCAAACTATAGAAAATAGATAGAAAATCAAACTATATAATGTTGCTCTGTTGATTTAAATCCATATAAAAGCATCTGTGATGAGACTATAACAGCTCCATAAATTTGATTACAGGTCAAAATCTTTGGATAAATATTTCAAAACTGGGATACAATCTCTTAAAAAGTGATATCATATTTGATTTATAGAAAGAGGTAACCAACCCTCTTCTCATCTAGTAATACAACATCAAATGAAAATCTCACATAAATTTATTTATTCCCTATCTGTGCTTAACAGACTTAGCAAGAGATTGAAAGAGACAGCTGAGGTGTTCTCAGCTCTGCAACAAGAACCCTCATGATCATAAAGGGAATAAAGAGATTTTACATTCAAAATGAAAAAAAATTGTAAATTTTCTGTGTAAATGTGACTTTTCACTTAAAATCTCTTTATCTTAAAAATTATCATTGAAGTGTAATTGACATATAAGATTATTTTAGTTTTAGGTGTAAAATATAATGATTCAACATTTGTATACATTGTGAAATGATCACCACAATAAGTCTAGTTAACATCTGTCACCACACAATTTTCTTTCCTTGTGATGGGAACTTATTTTTATGATCTATTTATTTATTTTTGAGAGATAGAGAGTGTGTGGTGGGGAAGGGCAGAGGGAGAGGGAGAGAGAGTCCTAAGCAGACTTTGTGCTGAGTGCGGAGCTTGACACAGGGCTCGATCTCATAACCATGAGATCACCCAGGCACTCCAACTGTGATAGGAACTCTTAAGACTTCTTTTCTTAGCATCTTTCAAATTTGTAATATTACTGACTAAAGTCACCATGCTATACATTACATTATATCCTCATGACACATTTATTTCATAATTGGAAGTTTGTACCTCTTGATCCCCTTCACCCATTTTGCCTACCAATTTGTTCTTTGTATCTATGAGCTTTGTTTTGTTTTCTGATTTTTTTTTTTAGGTTTTCTTTTTCTGTCAGGCTTATTTCACTGAACAAAATACACTCAAAGTCCATCCATGTTGTTGCAAATAAGATTTCATCCTTCTTTACGGCTGAGTCATATTCCTGTGTGTGTTTATGTGTGTGTGTGTACATATATATACACATGCATACCACATCTTTATCCATTCATCTATTGATGGACACTTCTGCTACTTCCATGTCTTAGCTATTATAAATGATGCTGCAATGAACAGAGGGGTGCAGATAGCTTTTCAAATTAGTGTTTTCATTCTCTTCAGATAAATGCCCAGAAGTAGAACGGCTGAACTCAATGACGGTTATATTTTTAACTTTTTGAGGAAACTCCATTCTGTTTTCCATAGTAGCTGCATCAATTTACACCACCACCAACAGTGTAAGTGGATTCCTTTTTCTCCACATCCTCGCCAACACTTGTTGCTTCTTATTCTTTTGAAACTAACCATTCCAACAGGTGTGAAGTGATATCTCATTGTAGTTTTAATTGGCATTTCCCTGATGGTTAGTGATGTTGAGTATCTTTTCATGTGCCTTGTGGCCATCTGTACATCTTCTTCGGGAAAATGTCTATTCAGATCCTCTGCCCATTTTTCAATTGGGTTGTTTGTGTTTTTGTTATTAAGTTGTATGAGTGCTTTATATATTTTCAATATTAACCCCTTATTGGATTTATCCCTTGCAAATATCTTCTCCCATTCAGTAAGGACCTTGTCCTATTATTGACAGTTTCCTTTGCTGGGCAGAAGCTTTTTAGTTTGATGTAGTCCCATTTGTTTCTTTGCTTCTGTTGCCACTGCTTTTGGAGTCAGATCCAAAAAAAATATCACCAAGACTGATATCAAGGAGCTTACTGCCTGTTTTCTTCTAGGAGTTTTATGGTTTCTGGTCTTACAGTTAGGTCCTTAACCTAATTTGAGTTAATTTTTGGGTATGGGGTAAGATACTATTCAGTTTTGGTTTTATTGCATTTGGATGTCCAGTTTTCCCAAACCTCATTTATTGAAAGAGACTGTCCTTTCCCCATTGTATATTCTTGCCTCTTTTGTCATAAATTGACCGTATATGTATGGGCTTATTTCTGGGCTTTCTATTCTGTTCAGTTGATCCATGCGTCTGTTTTTATGCCAATGCTATACTGTTCTGATTACTATTGCTTTGTAATATAGCTTGAAATCAGAGAGTGTGATGCCTCCAGCTTTATTCTTCTTTCTCAAAATTATTTTGGCTATTTGGGATCTTTTGTGGTTCCTATATAAATTTTAGGATCATTTGTTCTAATTCTGTGAAAGATGACATTGGAATTTTCATAGGAATTGCACTGAATGTATAGATTGCTTTGGGTAAAAAAGACATTTTTAACAATATTAAATCTTCCAAACAATGAGCATGGAATAGCTCTCCATTTATTTGTATATTCTTCAATTTCTTTCACCAATATGTCTTATAGGTTTTAGTGTATACATCTTGCACTTCCTTGGTTAAATTTATTCCTAGGTATTTTATTCTTTTTGATGCAATTGTAAAAATGAGTTTGCTTCCTTAATTTCTCCTTCGGATAGTCTGTTGTTGGTGCATAAAAATGCAATAGATTTTTGTATATTGATTTTGTACCTGAAACTTAATTTACTAGTTCTAATAATTTTTGGTGGAGTCTTTAGGGTTTTCTATATACAAAATGTTATCCTCTGCAAATACTAATAGTTTTACTCCTTCTATTAGAATTTGGATGGCTTTTATTTTAAATTTTTTTTTTAAAAAAAGTGAGAAAGGGAGAGAGGCAGAGGAAGGGGAGAGGGAGAGAGAGAGTCTTAAGCAGGCTCCCTGCTGAGTGCAGAGCCTGACCCTAGGCTCAATCTCACAACCCTGGGATCATGAGCTGAGATGAAATCAAGAGACACTTAACTGACTGAGCCACCCAAGTGCCCTTTAAATGTTACTTTTAATTTAGAAATCTGAAGAATTTCAGACTCATTTCAAAATGATTTGATACAAGGCTTCTCAGCTAACAATAAAATGTTATACATGCATGTGTTTTTTGACCAACTATGTGAAAGAAGATTTTTGTTGCCAGGAAAGTTCATAAGCCACAACATCTTGTGCAAGTATACCAAGGGGGGATAGGAAGGAACTATTTCTCTTTTAACAATAACATGAAAAATATACAAGTGTCCTTGGCTATCAAGTGAAAACAAGATGATCAAATTTGCTCCTGGTGAAAGGGATTGCTATTCAAATAACCAATATACTACTCAATAGCTAAATGTCTAATATACATAACTTTTTAAACAACAAAATAATAAGATTATTGGTAAAATTTTTCTTTTACCACACTAAAAAAATGTAGTTTTACAAAGCCATTAAGATTTACTTTCTTAAAAAAACATTGAAAAGTCTGTGTTTTTCTCCTTAAAAAAGCATTCGGTAATACAAACATGATCCTTTAAGATTATAAGTTACCTTTCAGGTCTTTCTTTAGTTTTCTGAGATCTTTTTGAAAATCTTCAAACTTCATCTGTGAGGCCTGAAAAAGGTCCTGGGGTTCTGGCAGTGGAAAAACACACTGTTCTTTTCCAGCATCCTAATTAGCAAGAAACACATAATTTTAAAACAAACCAACATTAATATAAATAAAGATACAACAACAATGGCAATGGCAAAACAACAAATAACAAAATCAAACTATATGTAAAAACTGTCTTACCTCATCAAAATTTCGAAGATAATAGGAAACAATATATGACAAAAGGCTTCTGCTATTGTCCTAGGCAGAAAGACCAAAGTAAAAATATATTTTTTTAAATATTAAATATGCAGTGTCAAGTAAAATAAATTCCAGTAAATCAATATATAAATGAGAACATTTAGAATAAAATGTGAGATCCTACATTTCAAAGTACTTCGGCCACTGCATCAAAGGAGTTTAATGGCACAGAAGATCCTGTTTTTCCCAATGTTCTAATCTAAGCTCCAAGTAGAAGCACAACTGTTCTAGGATGGAGTCTCAACTCCATACTATACTTCCATATACTTTGCTGCTTTTGCCCTCCTCGATCAGAAAATTAGTTCATTAATTGTCATGTTTTATCATTAAAAGGTATAACTACTACTTTAGCTGAAATAACTCAATCTTGCCAGCATTTATTTCTATACCATTTCTGGACCAGCAGGTATCATTCCAACAGTAAGACTGATTGAAATTTGTTAGTATAGGGATCAGGAAAATAAAGTTAAGTATTATTTTAAGTAAGCAGGGGCTTTAAAAACGCAAATACGTATTATAAATTGCTATGTCAGCAACTGAGATTGAGGAATTAATGTCCTCACAGCTATAAATAATGCAATGTATGTATTTCTATAGGAAAAAAAAATGTAGGATTGTTCCTATTCTAATGGTTTTCGAAGAATAGCTTTTCACCCCCTTTCTGGCACACTTAGGGGCATTTTTAATGATTTCTCTTTTTTTGCATCACTTGAAATTAGTACTAGATAATTTGAATGTGGGAGGACAAATATATATATTTTTAAAAAACCATACAACACAAACTACATCCCCTGAAATGTTCAATCTAACCATTATTTTCCCTCTATTTATACAAAGCAATATCCCTTAATAATTTAATTTGACATGATATGATAATACATCTTTTAGAGACTTCCCTCATAGTAATTTATAGTAATAATAACATAATAATATGTTATGCAGTTATACACTGCAATAATAAAAGTAATATATTTATTAGAAAGAGCATTCACTTGCAAATAATTAAAGCAACTTTCCTTTCTCCTTCCTAACTTATAAATCAATGAAATGGTTAACCATACTTGAATCAATTAACAAAACATTTATTAAATGCCTGCTGATAGGCATGCTGAGTGAAAATTCTGAGTGATCTAAATAACAGCTCTGTCCATACAGATCTACAAATAGTACTAAGAAGTAGACACAGTTATATTTGTTTTATACAGAAAGAACCAAATAAAGAAGACTTCACATAACTCTTGTGAGAATGCAAGTGAAATTATAAAATAAAATTTTGTTTCTTGATTTTATTATGCAATTTTTATCCAGATTATTCCTTGTAGTTATTTAAATTAATAAAATTTAACTTATTGGGAGATTGAATAAGATATATCAACCAATAAAAAACAAATAATCCTTTATTCATATATAATTATAATTATTAGAATCTATTTCAGATCCATTTTTATAAGCTAAATATTATGTTGGTGCTATTTATATTCCAGTGTTATTTGCAAATGTTACTAGTTTCAATCCAACAATCAGTTGTTAAGAACTATTCAAGTGCTTAGAAGAGAGTTTTGCTTTTGAACAAATGTGATTTATCCGGTTGACATACTGGAGGTTCCTGTGAAAACTTGTGCCATACAAATATAATAGCATCTGAACAAATATAACCATAAAAATCACCAAAATTGTATGTGCTGCTGGTGTTCCAAGACAGGATGATGGCTTTATTCAATTTTGGAAAAGCAGTGTGTGGGATTTCATAGAACTCAGTGAAAGAATGGTAAATGGATGTACGAGTGGATGTATGAATGAATGAGCAAATGAGTTGTTGGCCAACAGAAAAAACAATAAAAAGTATCTCTTTCTTAGGTGGGAATTACAGCTGACCCTTGAACAACATGGGTTTGAATTGCATGGGTCCACTTACACTTAGATTTTTTTTCAACAAATATAGTACAGTACTGGAAATGTATTTTCTCTTCCTAATGATTTTCTTAATAACATTTTCTTTTCTCTAACTTACCTTATTGTAAGAATACCATATATGTTACATATAACATAGGAAATAGGTGTTAATCGGCTAATGTTATTGGTGAGACTTCTCATCAACAGTAGGCTATTAGTAGTTAAGCTTTAGGAGAGTCAAAAGTTATACGCAGATCTTCAACGGAGCAGGAGGTCAGTGCCCTGCACCATTCAAGGGTCAACTATATTCATTATCTAGGAAGAACAATTCTAGTATTTCCATTTCTATGAGCCAGTCGTTTACTTATATTTATAATTTTAAAAACATGACCATAATTTTCTTTATCATATAGTTCTGTGTGGAGATTCTTTTTTTATTATTATTATTATGTTATGTTAATCACCATACATTACATCATTAGTTTTTGATGTAGTGTTCCATGCTTCATTGTCTGTGAATAACACCCAGTGCTCCATTCAATACGTGCCCTCTTTAATACCCATCACCAGGCTAACACATCCCCTCACACCCCTCCCCTCTAGAACCCTCGGTTTGCTTCTCAGAGTCCATAGTCTCTCATGGTTCATCTCCCCCTCTGATTTCCTCCCCTTCATTTTTCCCTTCCTACTATCTTCTCTTTTTTTTGTGGAGATTCTTTTATCAGAGAAACAGAATTCTATTATTTTCTAAGTTTACAATCTCACACATTAACTCTAACCAACATAGAGTTTCTCTAATATTATATTTTTACTGACACTCTCATAATCTCTTAGATGTTAATTTTAAACAAATACAAGTATAGAAGTAGGATCAAAAATTAATTAGGCCTGCAAAAAGGCTTAGACATCCCCACACATACCAGTATAAAGGGGAGGATGATATGTAGAAAAGCAGGATCATCTTTTACATTTTATTTTCAATCTACTTTCACCCATCTTTGTTTTGTTTTTAAAACACAAGCCTGCTGGCCTCCATTACTTAACACAGAAGAGGAATACCATCTAATTTATGAAAATTAATTAATCCTCAGACTCCAAAAGGATACATATTAGCAGACATGATAATAACAGAGTGAAAAATAATTATTTTTATTTTAAAAATCCTCTACTTGTTCTGCATGGAGCACTGGGTGTTAATATGCAAACAGTGAATCATGGAACACTACATCAAAAACTAATGATGTAATGTATGGTGATTACCATAGCATAATAATAATAATAAAAGAAACATAAAAAAAATCCTCTACTCGATTATGCATTAGACATAGGATTCACAATTACTCACTTTAGGAAACATTATTCACAAAATCATAAACATATGATGGCCATATACTTTTATCTAGTTCAGAACATCAAGACCTTGGAACATAAAGAAACATTTATTACAACAGGCTTACAGTCAAACTTATTACTAAATAAAGCATCTAATCTTCAATTTGCCTACATTCATTCATACAAAATACTTACACTGCTTTTGACATCTTTCAGCTTTGGAAGAATGTCTAATCCGAAGCCATCAGCCTGTCCTCGAGTCTTATTCCCTCCATTCATGTAGTTGCCAAAAGCAAGAACCAAACCCAGGATCTGCATAACCCCTGGGCCATTTTTTAATGTCTGTAAAACCAAATAAAGAACATTTTCTCTCTTAGACAAAGTTTTTTTTTAATTATCTTAAGTTAGTGGCAGATATTCATATTATCCTAATAATTTTGGGTCATATCCAAACTGTATCGTTGCTTATTATTAGGATTTTATTATTATTATTATTATGTTATGTTAATCACCATACATTACATCATTAGTTTTTGAGTGGTGTTTCCAAAGTTAACTTTAAGAAGCTGTACCACCCACCCTACAGACACATGAAAAAGTGCTCAACATCGCTCAGCATCAGGGAAATCCAAATCAAAACCTCAATGAGATACCACCTCACACCAGTCAGAATGGCTAAAATTAACAAGTTAGGAAACAACAGATGTTGGCCGGGATGCAGAGAAAAGGGAACCCTCCTACACTGTTGGTGGGAATGCAAGCTGGTAAAGCCACTCTGGAAAACAGTATGGAGGTTCCTCAAAAAGTTGAAAATAGAGCTACCCTATGACCCAGCAATTGCACTTCTGGGTATTTACCCCAAAGATACAAATGTAGTGATCCGAAGGGGTACGTGCATCCCGATGTTTATAGCAGCAGTGTCCACAATAGCCAAACTGTGGAAAGAGCCAAGATGTCCATCGACAGATGAATGGATAAAGAAGATGTGGTATATATATATACAATGGAACATTATGCAGCCATCAAAAGGAATGAAATCTTGCCATTTGCAAGGATGTTGATGGAACTGGAGGGTATTATGCTGAGCGAAATAAGTCAATCAGAAAAAGACATGTATCATATGATCTCACTGATACGAGGAATTCTTAATCTCAGGAAACAAACTGAGGGTTGCTGGAGTGGTGGGGGTGGGAGGGATGGGATGGCCAGGTGATAGACATTGGGGAGGGTATGTGCTATGGTGAGCGCTGTGAATTGTGTAAGACTGTTGAATCACAGACCTGTACCTCTGAAACAAATAATACATTGTATTTAAAAAAAAAAAAGAAGAAGAAGATAGTAGGAAGGGAAAAATGAAGGGGGGAAATCAGAGGGGGAGATGAATCATGAGAGACGATGGACTCTGAGAAACAAACTGAGGGTTCTAGAGGGGAGGGGTTGGGGGGATGGGTTAGCCTGGTGATGGGTATTAAAGAGGGCACATATTGAATGGAGCACTGGGTATTATATGCAAACAATGAATCATGGAACACTACATCAAAAACTAATGATGTAATGTATGGTTATTAACATAACATAATAAAAAAAAAAAGAAGCTGTACCCCCTACAAGCATTCAGGTACACATTTGTAAACTGAGAGACCACTCTAGGTGATTTCTATGATATAATTGCACTGAAAACAAATAAGGCTGTAATATGAGAACTACTACAAAATAATGTCATTGCCATCATCCTAATTATACCTACCTCTGGAGCAATAGAAATTTTTGGCAAAACACAGTTATAAAGATTAATTTCCAAATTTAGATTTATCCCTGAAAAGTGCACACTCACTTCTTCCAAACACAAAGCTTAGCTGGAATTTGCATGTCTTCTTTCCTCTGAAAATGTGTCTTTAATAACATCTTACTAGTTTTCAAAATGATTTACCACAACCAGAACGAATGGTACTATTGATTTTTGACAAATTGTTTTAAATGGTAATATTGGTAATTTCTGCCAAGCATTTATTCTTTGTTTTCAGAAGAATATTTATCTGCTATTGAGTCATACAGCTGTTCCTAGATTATTTGGATAGAATCATTAACAATTTGTTGGAAGCCCCTTCCAAAACTGAAGGAGAATAAATAAAATGCCTTCACATCACATCCAATCTTAAGTCTGATGTAGGAGAGGACAATGGAAAGTGAAGAGTTTGTGAAGGGACAGAAATTCATGAAGGTAGGAGCTAACAAGTGCATTCTACCAACAGGGCCCCATGGCAGTGGGCGCCTCGGAGTTTTCGCTTTGATCTTGAAACCAGTCGTGGTATGTTCTCTTCTGTGGAACTGCTATCCTGCAAATTTATGCATACTTACAGTACATTAAAGATAATGTTTTTGAAATATGAACATGACTGGACACAATTAAACATCAGAACTCAATCGTCAGCATTCTATGGATCAGTACCCACCTCACACAATTTCTGTAGCAATTCCAGTTTGCGACGAATTGAGCAAATGCTTTCTGAAAACGTGGACTGGAACAGAATACAAAAGACTCTCTCTGAGAAGTTGGGGATTAGGGACAGTTCATAAAGGAACCTAAGGAAATAAAGCCAAGTTAAGAGGAAAATATAATTCATATAAACAGATGTTTATCCTCCTATCATTCAGAACAATTATGCCCGGAAAACACTACATTTTCCAAATGGAAAGAGGCTGCCCATAGCCTGGTGGCCTTCTACGAGGTCCTGAGGTGTGCTTACTGTTCAGGTTTGTCCAGAGACTTGGCATTTTCCTTGTCTTTGGAGGACCGGCCGTGCTTTTCAATTTTTTCCAGTTCATCTGACTGTGCTCTCTGGAAAAAATAATGCCAAGCGGTTATTCAAAATCTGGTGAAATGAATCCCTTAGATTATGATAATCTTAATACAGCAAAACTCTATATATTTTCATATTTCTTAGCATCTGTTTGCCGTAAAGCTTGACTTAATTCATGAAGGCATTTTAAAGTGTAAATATGTTTAATGCAAACCAGATCATCTCTAAACCTTCCAAATAATGTTATTGGCTATTAGCGATCTGCAAAACATTTATTTATTCAAGCATACTTTAAAACAATACAGTTTTCCTCTCTTGCTTTTTGGCAGCTTGTAATACTCTCTAGAATACAAGAATTTCATTTTAAAGTGGCATGTGTTATTCAGAAATCAATCAAGTTAAATTTGGAAGTAATTTGATCCTAATGTAAGATTTTTAAAGGAAAAAAAGTACTTATTTAACTAATACAATCATTGTTTATGGCTTTTTTTTTTTTTAGGGAAAAATACAATTGAATTATTAAGTCCTGGGACAAAATAAAAGGTTTTGATTTTTCTTTTTGACACAAAAATGGCTTCAGGCTTCTTTTCTTCCAAATTATCTTCTTTTACCTTTCATCCTAAATTTGTTTCTTTGTAGGAGAGTTTCTTCTGCATTTTCAATATATAGTAGAAGATTTTATAGACACTGAGAAACACAAATCTATTCTTTATGAAAAATTTGGATGCTTTTTATTTTAGTCTTGTCTTTATTTTATGATTTGTGAAGATGTTTCAAAATAGCCAAATACAATATTTCTATACATTAAGAAGTGTGAGTAGACCACCATACCTTGAATTTGAGTCTAATCCTCAGAACTTAAATTCCTTTCACATTATTGTTTGCTTAAATATTAAAGCAGTTTAGCCAAGAACTACTGTATAAGATAAAATGTGATAGCCTTATAGAAACTAAAGATTTCATCTGAAAAATAGCTATGTTCTGTTTTTTATTCACTGACTGTTTTGAAATGCAGGTTTTCAGGTGATAGGATTAACTAGCAAAGACTAGTTCCTTCAAATGAAGCTTCTTTTTTTAAAAAAGATTTTATTTATTTATTTATTTATTTGAGAGAGAGAGCACGGGGTGGGGGAGGAGGGAAGGGGTGGAGGGAGAAGGAGAAGACTCCCCTCTGGGCAGGGAGCTAATACAGGGCTTTATACCAGGACCCCAGGATCATAACCTGAGGCAAAGGCAGACACTTAACCGACTGAGGCCCCCAGGCGCCCCTAAGGCTGCTCATTTTAAATTTTATTTATTTATTTATTTATTTATTTATTTATTTATTTATTTATTTATTTATTTATTTATTTAAGTATGCTCTGTGCCCAACATGGGGCTCAAACTCATGACCCCGAGATCAATAGTCACATGCTCTACCAACTGAGCCAGCCAAGTGCCCCCATATACACTCTTAAATAAAGGTGGCTTTTTTCCCCAGGCAACTGAAGAATTAGAACAACCAGTAAGTGTGGGTGGAGGTACCAGCATGTTTATATTTCACTGCTTTTGAACCATCAGTACAAACATTTACACTGTCAAAAAAGCAAACAGCTTAATGCTACTATGAAAATCATTTTCACCTTGCAGACCCCCTTACAAAAAATTACAGAACCCCTGGGCACCCATGGAACAGACTTGGGAACTGACACTTGGTAAAACCTTCTTATCCAACTGATGATTAAATTATCTTCAGCATTCACCATACTCAAATACCTCCAATGACAAAAACTCATTGTCATCCTAAATTGATCATTACATCTTTAAAAAACACCATCCAAAAACAAAACAAAACAGCTTCTTTATATTAAACAAAAATACTTCCTCTACTTTCAGACATTGGCCCTTGGTCTACTCTCTGCGGTCAATTGCAAATTCCTTTCAAATATTTGGGAAAGTTAATTTTTCTTCCTTTGTCTTCTGTGTTAAGTACTTTGGTTCTTTACATTTTATATGGTATGAATGTGAGCCTATCACAATCATAGTTGCTCTCTGAGTAGGTTTCTGATGACTTAACAAATGAGGCACACATAACAGTGTCCTGTCACTCTCCCATGGTACAGTCTGCTTCTCAACTCCATCATTCCAGAAAGACTGTTGCTGTTAGTGTAGCCTGAAATTAAGGACAATATTTGGAGGAGCCCTACATCCTCTTAAGTCATCAGTAGTCTAAACCTTTGAATTATTTTTCATATTTATAGGCTCTATTCTGTTTCTCCTACTCTGTATTTATGAAATTGATTATTTGGACTCAAGCATAACAACACATTTGTTATTTTTTTCTATATACAATCAACTATTCTAAGATTTTATAGCTTGAGATCCTAATTCTGTCATGCTACGGAGCAAAAAATACTTTGGGTTAGGGTAGCATGACAGAGCTTCAGAAAAAAGAGGAGGTAAGACCTGTGTTTTGAAGAATATGCTGGCTCTAGATAGATGGAGAGCTAATCTCAATGATTTGTCTCTAAATTTGCTTTGCTTTCTGTATTCCCTGTCACTGTTGAGACATGGGCATCTACCTGATAACTCACACGGTCACACCAGATCTTCTACCTGGAATATGCGTCATTCACTTTGGCTTGCTGCTCTTGGCTTGGCTTATGAATGAACTCCTCTGGAAAGCCAGCCTCGACTGCCTTACTCTCCATTATAATTATTCTCGTTCCAAAATGATAACACAGAACCTTATATTTGCTTTGTCTTATGCTATGCTTATCACAGCATCTTATTGGCCATATAAATATATGCCTGCATCTTCTATTGATTGGAGCTTCTTGAGAAGGGCCGTGTCTCAGGTATCTCTATGGTCCATAGTAACCAGTATGGCTTATGGTATACAGTTAGTAGTCAATAATATTTTTTTAAACACTGAAAAATTGTATCAGTGATTGAATACGACAAAATAAGGCCTCCAAGTCATGAAGAAGAGACAGGGAAAAGAGGAGGGATAATGACCCAATAATGTAAGAAGTATTGAGGACATAATGATATGCAGATAATTTCAACTATTTATCATCATCCTAAGAGTATAATGAAGCTACCTATGGGGTCATTTGAACTCCAAAATAGATATTATGCATGTGTGAGACAGAATTAGTCATTTTGAATGCTAGTACAATATAGGTAAATAAAAATAATAAGAAAGCTATGCCCGGCAAAAGTACATATGGATTCACTCATCTATACATTCATTCAACACTACTCTCTTGTGCCCCTACCACTCACCTCATGCAGAGATACTATGTGTGTAAAGGTACAAGAAGCAGGAATAAAACATAATAGGTTTTTAAGCAATGATAATCAACTCGGCAAGATTCTGCTATTCATTAATATACCATGACCAATTGTTTCTTGCCCATCAGCTTGGCTTGCTCCTTGCAAAGCATGAGAGATCAAGCGAAAGACAGTTATCTTCTATCTGCTAAGGCGCCATATTATTGTTCTTAATAGCAACCACACAATTTATGTCAAACTAGTGGTTATAAATTTGTACTAGAACCCGGTGGTCATCTGGATACTTTTGGTTTTGTTCAGCTTCAAAGTAAATTTAGCGTCAAGTGTTCTTCTCTGCTCTACTAATATGAGGTAATAATCAAGGTCAGACTTTAAAACAAATGAATTTTACGGATTCATTAATCCACTCATTTAAAGGCCATATTTACCAGCATTACACCAGGCATTGGGGATAAAAATATATATGAGTTAGGCTTCAGATTCAAGCAAAATCCTAAAACATAATGTACCAATAGCTCATAACACCACTCTTACTTGCTTAACCCTTCTGTAGCAATCTTCTTCCACTGCTTTTTATTATTTATTTATTTTTATTAACATAATGTATTATTTGTTTCAGGGTGCTTTTTAAAACTATATATGACTCCCCATATATGAAGAGGATGCTAATGATCTCACTACCATACCAATGGTGATTTGTTGAAATAAATTCATTCTTCTTTTACAGCCAAAGACATGGGCAACACAGGCACACACTTACACATCAATTAACAACATAAAGGAATTTACAAGCTCCAAATATTCAAATCACAAACTTTCCCTCTCCCAGTCTCACTCACTTCCAAAATTAAATCAGTCTCTTTCTTTACTGAATACCCCTTCCTGCACCCACCCCAATTACCTGCAGATTTGTACCAGAATATCCTTTTCTCAAGATTTCCTGTATTTGTCTATAAATGAAATGGACCTCCTCTAGTTACCTCCAGTTGCTGCCAAGCTGGATGTTTTCACCAGTTACCAAAGATTCATCGCACTTAAAACCCAGGAAAACTCCTCACCTAACCACTGGTCAAAACAAACCCAAAATCCAGGCTATCATCACTGATTTCACCATATATTTTGACCTCCACTACCCTTCACACAGACACCCCTTTAAACTGAATCTTGCTATTCCATCTCCTAGGAAGAAGTGTTACTTCTACAGAGAGGAAGAGATTGGGGAGCACAGGGTGGAGAGGGAGGGAAGAACATTGAGATCAACTGGTATGCATTTCCACTGTATACATTTCCACTGCCTGAGTCTATTAATGGTGTTAAGCAAATGTTTCTCAAACAGAGTTCCAAAGACACAAACTTAGATTCCTGAGATTCATTAGGAATTGCTGTATACTATGTCCATTTTTAAGCCTCATATGCTAACTACTCTTAGAAGTTTTATTATTGAAAAAAACTATTTCAACACCAATCCTCATACTTAATTGATAACAAAAAATGTGTGTGTGCAAGAGACAGACAGACAGAGAAAATGACAGTAACACTCCCAAAAAAACAGTATTCTAAGTGGAAACACTGTCTATGGCTAAACTTCAGCAGTTCCTTTATCCACTTTCTTTCATTTTTTTTCCTGATTAAAACTCTTCAGAGTGTAGGAATAGAGGGAATATACCTCAATATCATAAAAGCCATCTACAAAGAACCCACAGCAAGTATCATTCTCAATGGGAAAAAACTGAGAACTTTTGCCCTAAGGTCAGGAACACGG